AAGTTGCTACCGAAGTTGATAGGGTTGTAAAGAAGGCGTATGGTGTGTCGGCTTTCATTGGCAGGAGAATTGAGTTTAAGAGCCGTGAGGTTAGGCTGCAGCTCGATAAAACTGGTTAGACCACACTTGGAATATTGTGTTCAGTTCTGGTCACCTCATTATAGGAAAGATGGAGAAGCTTTAGAGAGGGTGCAGAGGAGATTTACCAGTATACTGCCTGGACTGGAGGGCAGGTCTTATGAGGAAAGGTTGAGGGATCTAGGACTTTTTTCATTGGAATGAAGAAGGATGAGAGGTGACTTGATAGAGGTGTACAAGATGATGAGAGGCATGGATACAGTGGGCAGTCAGAGACTTTTTCCCAGGGCAGAAATGACTATTACGAGGGAGGCATAATTTTAAGGTGATTGGAGGGAGGTATAGGGGAGATGTCAGAGGTAGGTTCTTCACACAGAGAGTGATGGGCATGTGGAATGCGCTGCCGGCAGTGGTAGTGGAGTCAGATAATTTCGGCACTTTTAAGCGACTCTTGGATAAGCACATGGAGGATAGTAAAATGTAGGGTATGCAGGGTAGATTGATCTTAGTAGGATAATAGGTCAGTTTACTTTAAAGTAAAATATGACTTTCCTGCAGACTTTTCCTGGATATTGTAACCAGGTACTTATCCAAAGTTTTTATTCAACATGTATATAAAACTTTACCCCACTAATAAAACTAACAAACGCTCTGCAGTGTATGGAAGCAACCTTTAACCTACTAACAAAACTAACAGCGCTATGTCCAGACCCTAGCGACCTTGAATGAATGAAACTGACAGCACTACTATAAACAGGTGTGACCACGAAACCGAATATTTGAATGAATGATAGTAAATAGAACCCACAGATGGACGCAACCATGAAACTAACAAAACAAGTGATAGTAAATAAAAACCACAGACAATCAAAACTGATGGGAACTCAGACTTTTATTTAAAAGACGCAAGATGCCTTTTTTCTAACTTTAAAATTCTAACCTTGAAAACAACAAGACTAACACCTTTTGAATTATAAAATAAAAACCGAAAGAACTGTGGATGCTGTAAATCAGTAACAAAAACAAAGTCACCGGACCCGAAACGTTAACTTTGTTTTTTTTTTCCTTCACAAATACTGCCAGACCTGCTGAGCCTTTCCAGCAACTTTTTTTTGCACCTTTTGAATCTTGCAAGGTAAAACCAGAGACACACTCTAATCTCATTAAAATAACCATTAACACTTAACAATAACCGTTAACATTTAGCATATGTTTAAACCATCTCTGATTTCCTGCAACACAGTTTTTGTACAATATCTACTGCTTAACGGTCAAGTGTTAGAATGTTAATGTATGCTTGATTTCTGTATAAAAACAGCTGCTTTTGAGCTATGATTTTGGGATTCTATTTCGCCTTACATCGTGCTGCTGTGAATGTACAATAAAGAGGCTATTTTTGCCACTCACTGATCCTGATCGTCTGGATCTTTCAACGCAACCTCACACCGGCCACAGCAGGTTGTGGATACTGATAGCTAATTGAATATTTTAAAATGGTGCTGTTAGATTTTTGTTAAGAGCTTAACAAAGGTAAAGGTATATAAAATAAGGGTCAGTCCTGATTGAATTGAATGTTTGACGGGGCTTAAGGGACTGAATTGTCTCCTTCTGTTCTAAATGTTCCTCTGACACATTCAGAAATTCCTCGGGGTATTGTAAAGGTACTTACAACTTTATTCGGAGGATGAGGACATCGCTTTTAGGCAGCGTTTATTTCCCATCCCACTTGCCCAGAAGGCAGTTGAGAGTCAACCACATTGCTGTGGTTCTGGAGTGACATGTAGGCCAGACCGGGTCAGGGTGGTGTTTTCCTTCCCTAAAGGACACTAGTGAAACAGATTGGTTTTTCAGACAATTGACAACAGTTTCATGGTCATCACTAGATTCTTAATTCCAGTTGCTTTTTATTATTGAATTCAAATTTCACCATCTGCCTTGGCGGGATTTAAACCCAGAATGTTATCTTGGACTGTGCAATAACAGTCCAGTGATAATATTATTAGGCCATTGCCTCCTCGTTAGAAAATTGGGTATCAAACAACAGTTAACAAAGAAACAAGATACTGCGGATGCTGGAGATCTGAAGTATAATCAGTAAGTGTTGGAGAAACTCAGTAGGTCAGGCAGTCTCTGTGGCGAGAGAAATGGAATTAAAATTTCAAGTCCAGCATGACTCTTCTTCAGAATTTTTGACCAGTTAACATAGAGTTGTTTTGGTGGCTCAGTACCATCCGTGAAGAAACTGCCAATCTGTCCTCTTCCTCTGTACTTTCCCCAGAGTCTTGGTTAGAATAATGGAACGGTTACATTGCAACAGAGGCCATTCAGCCCAATGTGTCCAATGCCAATGATTGTCTTATCCCCTGCTTTTCCCTCTCTCCTTGTACACTTTTTCGATAATGAAACATCTGCAAAGCAATCACGTCCTTCCTAAACTGGACACAATACTCCGTTAGAGGGTGACCTATGTCCGATACAGGTTCATCATAACTTCCTTGATTCCTTGCTTTTCTTTGGGAGTTGGACATCACCCCTTTTCCTGCCTGATAGTGATATAACAATCTTTGAAAGAGCTGTCAGTCAGTCCCACTCTCATCACCTCTCCCCTGACACTTATTTTAAAATAGAGATCTGATTCACTGCTGAAAGTTATTGAACTGGCTTACACGCCTTTTCAGGCAAGGCATTACAGATTACAGTAACTACCAGAGCAAAATCTCATTCTCTCCTACATTTCTGAAAATTATTTGATATGACAAGCTCAATTGTTGAACATTTGCCAAATGCATTTCATCATAGAATCCCT